AAGCACAAACAGGCAGGAATCTGATTGACATTACAAGAGCAGAAATTCTCAACTCATTAATGCCACCCAATAATCAATGAGATCTTATGTAATGGAGGGTACAGATCTATTCAAGCAAAGGAAAATGAGATCAAAGGCTTATTTTAAAACCGTTATTGTCCAAATCACTGAATATACAGGTTATTGTTGTATGGACAGGGTTTGAGAGAAGCTGTGGCTGGATTTACAAAAAGCAGCATGGAAAATATGATAGATAGTCTGTGGTGTGACAAAGTCTTAGAAACCTGCGAGGACTTCCAAAGTCAAGCTTAATAAGTAGCAGTCTAATGGCAAGGAAATTCCTGTGACTGCTATCTTCATGGATACATTTCTGGGCCTTAATGGTCTTTGGGAAAAATGGACCCTTCTCTAATGACGCAATTCCTTAAACAGCTCAATCAATTGGTCTTGGACGCAAGGATCACATTCACAATCTCTGCGAACAGATTGCTACATGGAAGAGCAATGTTATCAATCTATAAATCAGTATTGAATGGATGACTTTTAAAACACACATCAATTCAGTAAGAGGGCTATTACCTAACTGTGAATCATTTCTTTAATTTTGTTTTTAATCCAATAAAAGTACTATTGGCATATCTTAATTCAATCTTTGGACACTTTTCATTATGGTCATGTAGCAGAATCAAAAGGAAGAATCACGTGGTCCTCTGTAGCTCAGCTGGTAGAGCATGGCGCTTGTAACGCCAAGGTAGTGGGTTCGATCCCCGGGACCACCCATACACTAAAATGTATGCACGCATGACTGTAAGTCGCTTTGGATAAAAGCGTCTGCTAAATGGCATATTATTTTTTTTATGATGTGTTAAATATAAAATGACCTCTGAAACTTTCTGAATAGCGTAATGAAGTGTTTGCCATGGTGACAAATGACTCTGTTCCTTTTCCCATCTCTATCTCTTTAATCTCCTCCAATCTTTAAAACTCACACCAACTAAGCACACATGGCGATCATGAATATTTGATCGAGTTTAGTGCCGACTGGGGCCAAAGCTGAGAAGCAATTATAGGAACAGCACACTGAGTGCTTATCTGAGGAAGCTGCCACTCGCTAGTCGCTATGGCTTGGAAGGCACAACATTAGAGAGACATTAGAAAAACTCCCAACACACCACAAAGGTGGTAGGTAAGGTAAGCTGTGCTGTGGATGACGGAGGAGGATGACGCCAAGCACTGATGCAGGGCCAGTTCTGCTTATTCAAGTCCTGATGGTTGAGGTCAGGATTGGGGCACAGAAAAATCTGATCCTAGCCCAGCGCTTAAAGGGATACTTTGAGGCCCTTTATCTACTTCATCAGTCAGATGAACTCGTGGATACCATTTTTATGTTTCGGCGTGCAGTTTGAAGGAAGTTGCTAACTAGCACTAGCGGTAGTGCAGTGAGATACCCATAGACCTCCAGTCATTGTGCTAACGCTAGTTAGCATTGGCTCACAAAACTACCTCGAACTTCCTTCTGACTGGACACAGAGACATAAAAATGGTATCCATGAGTTCATCTGACTCTGGGGAAGTAGATAAAGGGCCTCATTGCCAAAATCCAGAAGTGTCCCTTTAATGACAATGTCTGCCTGGAATATGAAAGGGAAGCTGATGCAATATAGCCTACTGTAGTTAGTTATCTTAGGTTGTGCTTTGCTAAATGATGTCTTTTGAAATATACAGCAGTTGATCAACTAGAATAATTCTAGTTAACAACACGAACAGAAGCACAATACGAGCCATGTCTTAGGCCATTTAAATTCAGCAATGAATGTTAGACAACTAGTGTGACTTCAGGGCAAACTATGTGTGCATCTTAAATGGCACCCTATTTCCTATATAGTGCACTACTTTTGACCAGGGCTCTGGCAATGTAGTGCACCATATATGAAATAGGGTGCCATTTGGGACACACACCATCTCTCCACCTCTTGGTTTACATATTGCATACTGGGAGAAGAACAAAGAAACAGAAGTTACACCATTGCTTAACACATCAGTAGGGTAGCACAATCACAACATTCAGTAGACAATTTAAAAACAATGCCCACAAAATATTGACACATAATCTAACTCAATATTTTACTTGAATCCCTAAAATAGGGAGCTATAAGGAGACATCTCCCTGGTCAAAGTGCTCTACAAAAATAACCATTGACTTACCATCAAAATGACCCAACAACTTTATATACCCTGGACCGCTTCAGCAGGCACAGCATAAAATTGGGGGAAACAACCATTTCATGATTGGGCGTAATGTATGCCTAACTAACTATGTTCCCACCCATCCAGGACATCTACTTGAAACGGTGGCTGAGGAAGTCCCGCAGCATCAAGGACCCCACACACCCCAGTCACGAACTGTTCACAATTTAAAACACTTCCCTCCCAATCCCCCCCTTCCCTGATACATATGTAAATATTGGACTATAAATTGTGCCTTCCTGTGTTATACTTTTGCTAAAATGTTTCTTCTATTCTACTGAGCCATGAACTTTATGTTTGTGTATTATTTTATTATTTCTTATTGTTGTTGCATTATTGAGAAGGAACCTGCAAGTAAGCATTTCGTTGGACGGTGTATACCATGTACAGTGCCTTCAGAAAGTATTCACACCCCTTGACTTTTTCCACATTTTGTTGTTACAGCCTGAATTTAAAATGGATTAAATTGAGATTTTTGGTCACTGGCCTATACACAATAGCCCACAATGTCAAAGTGGAATTACGTTCTTTGACATTTTTACAAATTAATAAAATATTAAAAGCTGAAATGTCTTGAGTCAATAAGTATTCAACAACTTTGTTATTGCAAGCCTAAATAAGTTCAGGAGTAAAAATGCACTTAACAAGTCACATAATAAGTTACGTGGATAATAGTGTGCAACAATAGTGTAACATTATTTTTATTTCAAAAAATATATATATACATCATCGGTCAAAACTTTTAGAACACCTACTCATTCAAGAGTTTTTCTTTATTTTAACTATTTTCTACATTGTAGAATAAGAGTGAAGACATCAAAACTATGAAATAACACATATGGAATCATGTAGTAACCACAAAAAGTGTTAAACAAATCAAAATATATTGTATATTTGAGATTCTTCAAATAGCCACCCTTTGTCTTGATGACAGCTTTGCACACTCTTGGCATTCTCTGTGTGTAGATGGGTGAGAAAAAAATAATATTTGATCCATTTTAAATTCAGGCTGCAACACAACAACATGTGGAATAAGTCAAGGGTATATGAATACTTTCTGAAGGCACTAATAAAACCTGAAAACTGTAAGGAAAACATGAACAATTATCACCCAAACCTCAGGAAAACAAGTACCCTTCTCATAGGCACTTACTAGTCTATATTAATTCTGGTAGTTCATTAGCCTAATTCTGGTAATAATTCTGACTGATGAGGAGTCTGGGTTTGTAGATTTAATTCAAGCAACAAGAAATTATTCTACACAGAACCGAAACATCTAAACATGAGAATGCTCTGTGGCAGCACATCACTTTAATTAGGCAGTGGCGTGTAGATTCATCTCGGAACCCAGAACCCAAATCTCACAGTTCAGTCACGAGAGACTAGCCTACAAGTCGATTGCATAAACCTTAACTCCCTCATGATGAGACGGATACAGACATATTGGCCCAAATAAAATATGTATGAAATTCTCATCACGTAGCAATATTGAGTTATTTAGCTACACAAATTATGTCTGCATTGGATAAATCACATTATCCAAACTGTCCGTTACTTCATTGCCTAGAAGACATTACACTCTCAATTACCCTTCATACAATCCCATGATATGGGACGGTTAGACTTCTCATAAGTGCTCACGAAAAACACATAAAAAACCAAATATCAACAAGAAAAGGACACATTCACCGTAAAAGTACAAAATAAATAGCTGTCATTGTAAGCTGTGGTCCCAAGTGTAACAATGATCAAGGACATTTCATTCACAGGCCATCAGTGTTGTTTTTTATCCATTAGGCTATAGCACAAAGAATCACCTGCACACATCACTACTCAAATCTACTCCCACATCACTTAAACATACAAATGAAAGACAGTAAATCTTTCCTTTCTTACATGGATGTGCAAAGCATTCTTCATCACAAGAGCTTCACAGTTGCGTACTGAAGGCTACTTCAACTGGTCCTCCACAGTGACTAGTGGTGTAATGCCAATAGAAATAGAACGAACACACAAAAATGCCCGCAAGGTCCACCCATTACGGCATCATTGACTTGAATGGAGACGCCCATTCTTGTCATTCTATTTCTGTGGTAATGCCTATCAAGGAGAGGGACTTGTGAAAGAGCAATGGGATAGGAGTGTTTCCTCTACCATTATAGGCTCTCAACATGCCAACCGATTAATTCAGTATTCACTTCTTCAAGGTGACCCATGCTTGAACATAAATTATTAGGAAAAATCTGTGCAAAACCATGACCAACTTTAGGTATTTCCACCATATTGCATATCCTTTGTCAGCCCGTCAGGGAGGGGAAGGGAGTGGATGATATTACTGTCTGTCCAGTGTTAGAAAATAATCGAACAGGCACCTGGGGAAGCTTAGTCTAATTTATCTCCCAGTCATCCCACCTCTGCAATAAACCTAGTTAATTTTAAGCTAATTGTGTAGGCCTGTCGTCTTGTTTCATTTGAACTGAACAGCAAGCCATCCAGCTTTTCAAATTACAAAAGCTTTGTACAACAGAGACCAGTTCTATGGCATCGCCCCGATCCCAGGATAAACCCAAACTCCTCCACTTGAAAACCTATTGACTAGTCTGTCTTTGACTATGCACCGGCACACCACAGTGAGTCAAGCTGGATCCCTTGAGAAGAAGGCAGCTGTTTGGATTCTAAACCCTAGAAAGGAGGTTCAAACCGGGATCTTGGTGGTAAGCTGCTCCTCTATGACATCACTTCCTGTCTCAGACCGGAGGAGATTGCCAGATGGGTAGTGGGTGGGCCTCGGTGTTGAACACATACTTGTCTAGGCTAAGCAGCTCCAGGTCATCTGAGAACAACAGATATAAGTACTTGAGCGTCTCCCCCAGGAAGAAGCTCTCCATCTTGTCCCTGGGACCAGGGTTCACGGGGTCACGCACGTTACTGATGGAGGTATAGCCTCCGCTTGGCACCTGGAGAGGAAGCAGAGCATGAAGGGACAGGAAACCCAAACTCCTCCACATGAAATCCAATCTACAAGTCTGTCTTTGACTCTTCGCCACCACACCACAGGGACATTCCACCTCAAAAAGCACAAGAGGATTTCGACACCCACCATTTCAGATTGTTCTGAAATTGTTTCTGTTGTTCGAAACAGATAAGATTAGCATTCCTGCAACATTATTTTGTTGAAATATCATTTAATCTCTGAGAAATTAAGCTAATTGATTGCACCCAAATTGGCCATTTTAATTTATAAGATTCATATAATAATCAATAAATATAGTACCAAACATCTGATTTGGACCAAACTTATGGACCCTCCACACCCCATTCCAATCCCACCCCAAATATGAGTATATCGTATCAGTTCTCCATGTCTGACAAGTATTATGGAGCTGCGGCTTGAAGTATTGTTTCTTCATCCTATGTAATGTATTCCCAGTGGATTTTGGTGAAGTTTTTTTCCCCCTGTTCAGATAAATTAATTATTGAAGTTGTTAGGTTTATGTCCCATCCTACATATTACCAGGTTCAGACCACTAGATAGTACTGTTCCAGGTGATACAAAATATATATTTTTAAAGGAATAGTTCACCCAAATTATAAAAATACATATGTTTCTTTATCCTGTAAGCAGTCTAAGGATAAGGCATGACAGCAATCCATGCGTTTGTTTTGCTGTCCATTGTTTCCACTGTTTTTAGCATTTGTGGCACAAATCCAATGCAAGTTAATGGTACCTATATTAGCATTCTCACGCTTCATGTCCAAATCATCCTGAAGTATCTAAAAAAAACTCAATGATGTTACTTATAGATTATTTGGATATAAAAAGTTAGCATTTGAAACAGGGTCCAGGTAAACAAAACCAAAACATGGGTTGCTGTCATACCTTGTCCATAAACTGCTTACAGGGTAAGGAAACCAATCTGTTTTTTTGTAATTTGGGTGAACTATCCCTTTAATATTGAGACGTTCTTAAAAAAAACAAATCACCTAAGTAGGAACAGCAACATCTAGTGTTCAGACCTTGGTAATATCAGGATGTAGGATTGGACATAAACCTAACAACTTCAATGACTAACAGGGGGAAAAAACAATCACCAAATTCACTGAGAATACATTACATAAATGAAGAAAAAATACTCCAAGCCACAGCTCCATACTACTTGTCAGACATAGAGAACGGATACTGTATACTCGTTGTTAGGGTGGGATTGGAGTGGGGTGGCTTTGATTTTTGAGGGGGATTCCTCATTGTTAGAAAAAAGTTTGGTACAAATCTGATGTTAAGTACTATATTTATTGAATATTATATGAATCCTATAAATTACAATTGCCAATTTGGGTGCAATCAATTCGCTTAATTTCTCAAGAGATCAAATTAGATTTAAAAAAAAGTTATGTTGCAGGAATGCTAATCTTATCTTTTTTTAACTACATAAATGATTTCAGAACAATCTGAGATGGTGGGTGTCATGGCTTGCTGAAATGACATGGAACGACCCCACAGTGAGTCAAGCCGGATCCCTTAAGAAGGCAGCATTGGTGTCACAGCTCAGATGATTATGTTCATTGAGAAATTCAAGTAGACTCACCCTATTGCCTTCCGACAGATGGCGTCTTTCTAACGAGACTGCATTGTCATGAGCCATCTGTCATGCAAATCGTAGAGCTCATCTTTAACAATAAAGATTCCTCTGCATCCGCATGAAAGTAGGATCTGGGTTTTAGAAATGACTGCGTTCTTGCATTGACACGCTATGAACCAGCTGGCAGATGCAATGGCTAACTGAAACCATGCACCAGTCTGTCAGCTGATCAAACTTCTTGTATTTAGCAGAACACAGTTTACTGACATAAATGTGCTAGCTTGTTTAAATGGCCCTTACGGTAGCTAGTTAGCCAGCATGCTAATAAAGTTGTACTGCACAAAATTATGGGACTGTTCTCAGAATGTAGCTCATTTAGCTTCTTAATTCAGCCAGTGAGACTAGCTTAGCTAACAACCAAGCTAGCTAGCATTTCAAACGTTATAAATACTGCTTCTTCAACCTCCTTAGCTTGATGTAGAATTAGGTAGTTAAGAAAACGTCAAAATTGCCTACAGGTTTATCGTTTTTGTTAAGATTAATCCTGACTGTTAGGTGGTTCGTTAGACGAAGTCACCTTAAAAACATTTTCGAATGGTATGACAGCATAAAAGTTGCCAAAATACTTTTCCCACGGGGGGCCAGTATGAAATATAAAATATAAATAATGTATGCACTCACTAACTGTAAGTCACTCTGGATAAGAGCGTCTGATAAATGACTAAAAATTTAAATGTAAATGATCTATCCCATATAAAAGTTTGCAAAATATCAGACAGATCAGTCCAGAGAGAGTCGTTGCGCTATCTGACGCAAGACATTGGACTCACCCTGGTGTATCTGTTGAAGCTCTCTAGAATGTCCCAGCCCCAGTCTCTGTATTTAGTTTCCTTAGTGAATCTGTACAGGTAGAACAGACTCTCCACTGTCTCTGGTCTCAGGAGGTTGTGTCTGTCTGAAGGCTGCGGGAGAAAATACATGCAAACGCACATAGGGTGCTTCCGAAATTGCACCCCATTTCCTATACAGTGCACTACTTTTAGGGAATAGGGTGCCATTTAAGAATCAACAATACACATTGACAGTAAAGTGGGTGCAAATATACATCTTCTTATGCTTTGATTGATGAAGTTTGTATGCTGTAGTATTTGGGAAACAAGTTTTTAGAGGGTTAATTCCAGCAGTGAGGGAGAAAACAAATACTGTGTATCTGATATATTTTCAGCTTTATTACACCCTGGAGCCACTAATGACTCCTATTACTCTGCCACTCGAAATCTCTAGACAGGGATTAGTGCAAGACACAGAAATACAGTGAGGGAAAAAAGTATTTGATCCCCTGCTGATGTTGTACGTTTGCCCACTGACAAAGAAATGATCAGTCTATCATTTTAATGGTAGGTTTATTTGAACAGTGAGAGACAGAATAACAACAAAAAAATCCAGAAAAACGCATGTCAAAAATTTTTATAAATTGATTTGCATTTTAATGAGGGAAATAAGTATTTGACCCCCTCTCAATCAGAAAGATTTCTGGCTCCCAGGTGTCTTTTATACAGGTAACGAGCTGAGATTAGGAGCACACTTAAAGGGAGTGCTCCTAATCGCAGCTTGTTACCTGTATAAAAGATACCTGTCCACAGAAGCAATCAATCAATCATATTCCAAACTCTCCACCATGGCCAAGACCAAAGAGCTCTCCAAGGATGTCAGGGACAAGATTGTAGACCTACACAAGGCTGGAATGGGCTACAAGACCATCGGCAAGCAGCTTGGTTGAGAAGGTGACAACAGTTGGTGCGATTATTTGCAAATGGAGAAACACAAAAGAACTGTCAATCTCCCTCTGCCTGGGGCTCCATGCAAGATCTCACCTCGTGGAGTTGCAATGATCATGAGAACGGTGAGGAATCAGCCCAGAACTACACGGGAGGATCTTGTCAATGATCTCAAGGCAGCTGGGACCATAGTCACCAAGAAAACAATTGGTAACACACTACGCCGTGAAGGACTGAAATCCTGCAGCGCCCGCAAGGTCCCCCTGCTCAAGAAAGCACATATACAGGGCCGTCTGAAGTTTGCCAATGAACATCTGAATGATTCAGAGGAGAACTGGGTGAAAGTGTTGTGGTCAGATGAGACCAAAATCGAGCTCTTTGGCATCAACTCAACTCGCCGTGTTCGGAAGAGGAGGAATGCTGCCTATGACCCCAAGAACACCATCCCCACCGTCAAACATGGTGGTGGAAACATTATGCTTTGGGGGTGTTTTTCTGCTAAGGGGACAGGACAACTTCATCGCATCAAAGGGACGATGGACGGGGCCATGTACCGTCAAATCTTGGGTGAGAACCTCCTTCCCTCAGCAGGGGCATTGAAAATGGGTCGTGGATGGGTATTCCAGCATGACAATGACCCAAAACACACGGCCAAGGCAAGAAAGGAGTGGCTCAAGAAGAAGCACATTAAGGTCCTGGAGTGGCCTAGCCAGTCTCCAGACCTTAATCCCATAAGAAATCTGTGGAGGGAGCTGAAGGTTCGAGTTGCCAAACGTTAGCATCAAAACCTTAATGACTTGGAGAAGATATGCAAAGAGGAGTGGAACAAAATCCCTCCTGAGATGTGTGCAAACCTGGTGGCCAACTACAAGAAACGTCTGACCTCTGTGATTGCCAACAAGGGTTTTGCCACCAAGTACTAAGTCATGTTTTGCAGAGGGGTCAAATACTTATTTCCCTCATTAAAATGCAAATCAATTTATAACATTTTTGACATTAATTTTTCTGGATTTTTTTGTTGTTATTCTGTCTCTCACTGTTCAAATAAACCTACCATTAAAATTATAGACTGATCATGTCTTTGTCAGTGGGCAAACGTACAAAATCAGCAGGGGATCAAATACTTTTTTCCCTCACTGTAAGATGAGCAGCAAAGTAAACAAAGATTGAAAGAAACACAGTAGAAGCTAAATACCCCTCTATATCTCACAGACACATATTGTCTAAGTCCCAAATTGCACCCTATTCCCTATGTAGTGCACTAAATAAAGAATATGGTGCCCATTTGGGATGCTCCAATATTCTCCCAGTAGAACCCACCTTGACGTCGATGTCTCGCCCCTCGTAAGGCTGCAGGTTGAAATGGGCGATCTCGGGGCTCAGGCCCGTCTCCATCTGGACGTACATCTGGTGGCACGTCTCCATCAGCTGCAGGGCTAGCTCCATGTGGTCCTCTGGCAGCCCATTGTGGGCACCCAGCGCCAGAGTGCCAGGCAGGAAACACACCAGGTGGTCCTGAAAGGGAGGGTAGAGAGAGGGGGAGGACATAGAAAGAGAGAGGGCAGAGAACAGAGAGAAATAGAGAGAGAGCGAGAGAGAGAGAGAGAGAGAGGGAAGGACAGAGAGAAAGAGGGGGGGGGAGAGAGAGAGACAGAGAGAGGTGGTGAGTCTTTATTGTACACACATATAACTCAATATACAGTACCAGTCAATAGTTTGGACACCCCTACTCATTCCAGGGTATTTTACTATACATTGTAGAATAATAGTGAAGACATCAAAACTATGAAATAACACATATGGAATCATGTAGTATCCCAAAAAGTGTTAAACAAATCTAAATATATTTGAGATTTTAGATTCTTCAAATGGCCAACCTTTGCCTTGATGACAGCTTTGCACACTCTAGGCATTCTCTCAACCAGCTTCACCTGGAATGCTTTTACAACAGTCTTGAAGGAGTTCCCACATATGCTGAGCACTTATTGGCTGCTTTTCCTTCACTCTGTCGTCCGACTCATCCCAAACCATCTCAATTGGGTTGAGGTTGGGGGATTGTGGAGGCCAGGTCATCTGATGCAGCACTCCATCACTCTCCTTATTGGTAAAATAGCACTTACACAGCCTGGAGGTGTGTTGGGTCATTGTCCTGTTGAAAAACAAATGATAGTGTGCCTTGAATTCTAAATAAATCACAGACAGTGTCACCAGTAAAGCACCCCCACACCATAACACCTCCTCCTCCATGCTTTACGGTGGGAACTACACATGCGGAGATCATCCGTTCACCCACACCGTGTCTCACAAAGACACAGCGGTTGGAACCAAAAATCTCCAATTTGGACTGCAGACCAAAGGACACATTTCCACTGGTCTAATGTCCATTGCTCGTGTTTCTTGGCCCAAGCAGGTCTCTTCTTCTTATTGGTGTCCTTTAGTAGTTGTTTCTTTGCAGCAATTCCACCATGAAGGCCTGATTCACACAGCCCCCTCTGAACAGTTGATGTTGAGATGTGTCTGTTACTTGAACTCTGTGAAGCATTTATTTGGGCTGCAATTTCTGAGGCTGGTAACTCTAATGAACTTATCCTCTGCAGGAGAGGTAAATCTGGGTCTTCCGTTCCTGTGGCGGTCCTCATGAGTTTCCGTTTCATAATAGCACTTGATGGTTTTGACTGTCGTTTCTCTTTGCTTATTTGAGCTGTTCTTGCCATAATATGAACTTGGTCTTTTACCAAATAGAGCTATCTTCTGTATACCCCCTACCTTGTCACAGCACAACTGATTGGCTCAAATGCATTAAGAAGGAAATAAATTCCACAAATTAACTTTTAAGAAGGCACACCTGCTAATTGAAATGCATTCCAGGTGACTACCTCATGAAGCTGGATGAGAGAATGCCAAGAGTGTGCAAAGCTGTCATCAAGGCAAAAGGTGGCTATTTGAAGAATCTAAAATCTAAGATATATTTTGATTTGTTTAACACTTTTTTGGTTACTACATGATTCCATATGTGTTTTTCATAGTTTTGATAAAAATAGTTTTGATAAAAATAAAGAAAAACCTTTGAATGAGTAGGTGTGTCCAAACTTTTGATTGGTAGTGTACATTAAGATGACTAAAACCAAATCGAAACTGTGTGGAACTTATAATGAACCTACATTCATACAGTTTCTTGACTGTGTCCAGCTCGCTAATCATCACCGAAATAAAAGCTAGACAGTCAAGTAGCATCGCAAATTCCAAAAACAATGGATAGAGGACAATTTTTTGCAAATTTTGACGACAAGGAAATACAACCAATTTTCAGTGCGGCGCTCCGCACCTCGTTGAAGAATGAATGCAGTCCCCTGGCCAAAATGAGTTTGACACCCCTGGTGTAGTCGCTCTCTCACCATTTTAGGGTTGAAGCGGTTATGGTTGAGCTCCCCTACGAAGGTCAGCCTGCTGGGGCCCGTGGTTCTCAGGAGGTGCTTCTTTACCCCCTCCACCGCCTCCAGGTAGTCCTCCAAAAGACTGAGCATAACATACCCATACATCTCTATTAGTTTATCTGTAATGCTGCAAGACAAGTCTCCTCAACGCAAATGTGATCATGTGATCTGATAGAACCAAATATAAGTTGCAACATTTCTTTAACTCCCAGGTTCCAGAAATCAAGGGAATAAGCAAGACATCTGGAATCCTCCAACCAGGATAACCAGGAATTTGCAAACATAACCAAATAGATGCTTACTCTGGTTCAGTCTTGCCTCCCTGGATCCACTGTTTGAGCAGGTACTCGTAGTAGCTGTCTGCCCGGGCCCCCAGGGTGAACACTCCTTTGTGGGTGAACTGGCCGCTGTTGGTGTTGATGAACATGGGCACCAGGCCGTCATGTTTCCCTGGCAGCTTATGGACCAGCCTCATCACCTCATTCACCACCTCCTAGGGAGGCACAGGCAGGTTGATAAAGACTTGGGTCATATTTATTAGAGCGCACCGTAAAAAACATTTTGCAAAGGAAAACCTTCCTCTCAAATTCAAACCTATGCAATAATGAGTTAAACTCCTCCAACTTCAATCTATGCAGCCAGACAGAGATTTTGTGTCCAGAAATTACGGATTGAGTCAAGGTTGGTTTTTCAATGGGGGTCATCCGTTGACAGATAACGGAGATCATTGTTTGTCAAAAACCACAATATGTCTGCCTAGTTGAATTGAATTTTTGACAGCCGTAGCCTACACCCAAAAAACACGACATGACCCACAGGAGGCACAGAGCGCCCCTCTCTGGCCTCACCTGGTACTGCGGATCTTGGGTAAGGCGGCTGAGCTCTCTGAACTCCAGCTGGACACTGGTGACCTCGGCCAGTGTGCTGTCGGATGTCCAGCGAGGTGGGTGGGCTGTGTGCTTCCCAATGTTCACATCAGAGAAGGGGATCTTGGAGGGGGTTTTGAAGGCAGGCATCAACCTCAACCCAATATCTTTCTACAGGAGCAGAAGGGAAGGAAAGATGAGAAAATACCTATTAATCACCATCAACAGTCATTAGTAAATTAGCTAATTGAATTAAGTACTTGTCTGACTCATTCATTCTTAAAGTGAAGAGAAGAGCATTTTTCCTGCTTTGATAATACAGTATGTGTCAGTCACAAATAAACAGTGAACAGGGGAATTAAAGTGTGAAACAAAAGATGTAGGTAGAGTCAAAAGTAAAGACCATACCCTTGTCTAGTAGCCCTGTGACAATCTGTCCTAGCCTTTCTTCCCATGTCACTCACAGCCTTCTCCAGGAACATCTCATCCCCAGTCAGGTGGTAGGTGCTCAGCAGGCCTCCCACAATCCGTATGGTGCTCTCAAACAGGTTCACATCCACATTCTTAGAGAACGACAACTCAGTCTCCACCCACTTCCTCGCCTCCTCAAACTCTGCATATGAGAGAGAGAGAGAAAGACAGACATATAAATACAGATCATTTTTTGTGAGAAATTCAGCCATGGGTTCTGTTTCACAGCAGCAAATAGAGAGTAGCATCTAGTAGAGAGAGAGAGAGAGAGAGAGAGAGAGAGAGAGAGAGAGAGAGAGAGAGAGAGAGAGAGAGAGAGAGAGAGAGAGAGAGAGAGAGAGAGAGAGAGAGAGAGAGAGAGAGAGAGAGAGAGTGGGGTGTATGTGTGTGTGGAGGCCTAGCTACCTTCTTTCAGTCCCAGGATCCACATGGTGTCCAGAGCATCAATGATAGTCAGCCCCAGGCCAAACCACTCGCCGTAGGACTTAGAAACGGGCTTGAGTTCATCATGACCCCAGGCAAACTCCTTATAGCCCTTCCATGCATGCCTAAAGGCCTCTCGCACTGTTTCCAGCCTGTCCACAGGCTTCACTGAAACTACACACAGTAAACACTTTTACTCTATAAAGCACACACAAAAAAACGTGTATATTTGTGAAGCCAAAACCACAACACTGGTCAAGCTATGGAGTACGTGAGGGGGTGCGGTATGGTTGAGGGTATGAGATGGTGCGTGTGGCAGAGACTTACCTGGTGCCAGTGGGGCAGCGTCTTCAGGGTTGACTGGTACAGCGGGCACAGCTGCATCCTTCTCATGGGCAGAGGGTGGGGGTTCTGTAGCCTGGTCCGCCTCGATCATGGCCCGTCGCCAGCTACATGCATGAAACACACAACACACAAGTTATAAAGGATATGAAACTGTAAACAAATAGTAATAACAGTATTACTGCAGAATGACCCTGATTGGTCAACAGAGCTGAATTCAATATCAAATGTGGTTAAGCATGACAATATGTGATGTAAACAGATAGGTCTACTTTCTTGGGGACCTGAATATTGACTGGTTTTCATCAAGCTGTCCACTCAAGAGGAAGCTTCTCACAGTAACCAGTGCCTGTAATCTGGTTCTGGTTATTAATCAACCTACCAGGGTGTTCACAAACACTACAGGAGCAAGATCATCCACATGTATCTATCACATTTTTACTAATACTGTAGAACTTTGTTCTAAAGCTGTATCCGTACCCATTGGATGCAGTGATCACTGGTGGCTATATCCAGGAAAGCCAAAGTTCCAAAAGCTGGGCCTAAAATAGTGTATAAGATTTTACTGTGACTCTTATGTGGGTGATGTTACAAATATTTGTTGGTCTGATATGATTAATAAGGAGCATACAGACGCTGCACTTGATTCATTTATGAAATTGCTTCTTCCAATTATTGATAAACATGCCCCTGTTAAGAAACTGACTGTTAAAACTGTTAAGGCTCCATGGATTGATGAGGAACTGAAAAACTGTATGGTTGAAAGAGATGGGGCAAAAGGAGTGGCTAATAAGTCTTGCTGCACATCTGACTGACTGACTTACTGCAATTGAGAAATTATGTGACTAAACTCAACAAAAAGAAGAAGAAACTGTATTATGAAGCCAAGATCAATGATATAAAGAATGATGGAAAAAAAACTTTGGAGTACTTTAAATGAAATGATGGGCAGAAAGACAAATTAAACTCCATCTTTCATTGAATCAGATGGCTTATTCATCACAAAACCATTTGATGTTGCCAATTATTTTAATGATTACTTCATGGGTAAAGCAGGCAAACTTAGGCAGGAAATGCCAACAATGAACAGTGAGCCATCGTACTCAAGCATAAAAAAACTAATAATGAAAGAAAAGCATTGCAAGTTAGAATTTTGTAAAGTTAGTGTGGGAGAGGTGGAAAAATTATTGTTATCGATCAATAATGACAAACCTCCTGGCATTGACAACTTAGATGGAAAGCTAATGAGGATGGTAGCTGACTCTATAGCCACTCCTATCTGTCATATCTTTAATCTGAGCCTAGAGGAAAGTCTTTGTCCTCGGGCCTGGAGGGAAGCCAAAGTAATTCCGCTACCCTAGAGTGGTAAAGCTGCCTTTACTGGTTCTAACAGCAAACCCATCAGCTTGCTGCCGGCTCTTAGCAAACTGTTGGAAAAAATTGCGTTTGACCAAATACAATGCTATTTCTCTGTAAACAAATTAACAACAGACTTTCATCATGCTTAGAGAGAAGGGCACTCAACATGTACTGCACTGATACAAATGACTGATGATTGGATGAAAGAAATTGATAATAAGAACATTGTGGGAGCTGTACTGTTAGATTTAAGTGCAGCCTTTGATATTATTGACCATAACCTGTTGTTGAGAAAACGTATGTGTTATGGCTTTTCAATCTCTGCCATATCGTGGATTAAGAGCTTCTATCTAACATAACTCAAAGAGTAATGGAAGCTTCTCTAATGTCAAACATGTAAAGTGTGGTGTACTGCAGGGCAGCCCTCTAGGCCCTCTACTCTTTTCTATTTTTACCAATGACCTGCCACTGGCATTAAACAAAGCATGTGTGTCCATGTATGCTGATGATTCAACCATATATGCATCAGCAACCACAGCTAATGAAGTCACTGAAACCCTTAACAAAGAGTTGATGTCTTTTTTGTAATGGGTAGCCATTACTAAACTGGTCCTGAACATCTCCAAAACTAAGAGCATTGTATTTGGTAAAAATCCATCCCTTAGTTCTACACCTCAGCAGAATCTGGTAATGAATGGTGTGGCTGTTGAGCAAGTTGAGGAGACTAAATTACTTGTGTTACCTTAGATTCTAAACGGCCATGGTCAAAACATATACTATAGATTCAATGGTTGTAAAGATGGGGAGAGGTCTGTCAGTAATAAAGAGATGCTCTGCTTTCTTGACACCACACTCCAAAATGCAAGTCCTGCAGGCTCTTGTTTTGTCTTATCTTGATTATTTTCCAGTCGTGGGCAAGCGCTGCAAGGAAATACCTAGTTAAGCTGCAGCTGACCAAGAACAGAGTGGCACGTCTTGCTCTTCATTGTAATCAGAGGGCTGATATAAATACTATGAATGCCAGTTTCTCTTGGCTAAGCGTTGAGGAGAGACTGACTGCATCACTTCTTCTTTTTATAAGAAACATGAATGTGTTGAAAATCCCAAATTGTTTACAGAGTCAACTTACACACAGCTCTGACAAACACACTTACCCCACCAGACATGCCACCAGGGGGCTTTTCACAGTCCCCAAATCCAGAACAAATTCAAGAAAGTGTACAGTATTATATAGAGCCATCATTGCATGAAACTCCGTTCCATCTCATATTGCTCAAATGAACAGCAAACCTGGTTTCAAAAAACAGAAAAAGCAACACCTCACGGCACAATGCCTCTCCCGTATTTGACCTAGATAGTTTGTGTGTATGTACTGATATGTAGGCTACGTGTGCCTTTTTAAAATTGATGTAGTTCTGTCCTTGAGCTGCTGCTTTCACAAAAGCTAATGGGGATCCTAATAAAATACCAAATAGGGTTTTACCTGACAAGTGGCTTCTCTCCCTGCTCTTCCTCTTCAGCTTTCTCCACTGGTTTTACCAGTGAATCTGATACATTCCACTCCTTCTGCAGGCTTGGAGGTCCTCTCTTGTTTGGGAATGGTCTCTTCTACGTAGGTAAACACAGTTAATTACAATAGATTACAGCATGTTCTGACAAAGGCGCTGAAGGACAGCCAAAACAGTTGCTTCACTGTCTGTTCTTGGACCCAGAATCACTTGAATGGTATTTAGGTTTAATTAAACATAAAACCAATCAAAACTGATCATTTAGTACAATAGCCAGACTGGTCCTGACCTTGGCTAGGGGTTTGGGTAGAGAGGGGACTTTTGGGATGACCTCTGGTATGAGTCCTGGACCCACTGCTGGACCCAGCTCTGGACCGACCGCTACACCCGCCAGGCCCACAGCCGCACCTCCAGCTTGGCCGATGGCTGGGCCAGCCACAGGGTTGACCCCTGGAGGGACAGGTTTCAGGCCTCTTTCCCAGTCTCCATCCCAGTCCTCCCTTACAGCCCTGTCCGACACGACTGAGCGCACACAAACACATGACAACACAGACATCAATACACAGCAACACAAAGCACAGGATCCTGCGCTTTGTACTCTCTGTGGTCACTAAAGATCCCATGGCATTTATCGTAAGAGTAGGGGTGTTAACTCCGGTGTCGTGGCTAAATTCCCAATCTGGCCCTCATGTCATCATGGCCACCTAATCATTCCCTGCTTCCAATTGGCTCATTCATCCCCCTCCTCTCCCCTGTAACTATTCCCCAGGTCATTGCTGTAAATTAGAAAGTGTTCTCAGTCAACTTAACTGGTAAAATAGGGTTAAATAAATAAACATCCACAGCGGCATACAAATACTAAATACTCCCCAGCTTTCTTTATCTAACAGCCAGTGAGTGTGGTGAAGGAGGCCTACCTCTCCATTGCTCTGAGAAGCTGGGGTAGAAGAGCAGTCCACATATCAGCAGCAGAGCCAGCAGGAAGAGGATGAGACTGCGCTGCAGCCGAGACAGCTGCTTCCACTTCTATAGAGAAGAGGAAAAGAAGCACTCAAAAGCAATCTCTCAATTCAAACGACAGTAGGACCCCAGCTCATTTCCCCATACCAGATCACCATTAAAGAGGGACAAAAGCTTTTGACAGACACTGTGATAGCTATTGTGTTACTTGCCTGCTACAACTCCAACATCTCTAGATGGTTGTTTTTCCACTACCTCACATACTGATCTAACCAGGGAGAGAGCAAGCAGTGAGGCTAGAGACAACAAAAATAGCTAGAGGCACAACAAGCTACTCTCACAGGCTGGCCACCTAGCATAATTAATACCTGTGCTGGGCCACGAATGCCTATCTGAGCAATCATCAGTGAACCATGATGGAAAACAATGCATCATTGTCTCAAGAGAGGCTTTGCCACTGGAATCTATCTAAATAAAACAATACCCAAGAAGACGCTGCCTAATCTTCCCTATACCAATGAAAACTACCATGAGCACTACTCCTCACATTCATGACTGCTATGCTTTTGCATATTGCCTGGGGCCGTATGTCTCAAGCTTCTCTGAGTAGAAGTGCTGATTTAGGATCAGTTTAGCCTTTTAGAGCACCCTGAATAAGATTCAATAGACAGGGGGTAGCTGATCCTAGATCAGCACTCTTACTCTGAGTCGCTTGATGCATATGGCCCCAGTTCACAGTACTGTTGTGAGAGTTTTGACAGGTGTGTGGCTGTAGGACAGTGTTCACCAACTTTTTCTGAGTCAAGATCACTTTCTGAGTCAAAATGCAAATTGAGATCTACCGCTCAGTTTTTAGTAATTTTTTTTTCTACCGCTCATTTTTTTTTTTTTACATGACTTAAAAAACTTAAGCCTATGAAACATTAAACAATTAAAAACAGTTCTGTAGCAATGAGGTTTGTGCAGTTGGCTGTAGGCCCAATACATTCTCACTGCATATTGGCTATGCTTGAATTACTTTGCCAATGTTGTTCTCAGACCATTTTGTATTACTTGTGAGGCACAGCTGAGTGAGCGTAATCAATTTTTTTTTTTTTTTTTACAGGATTGATGACCTGCATTTGATGGTCAGTCTGAGGGGAGGGAGGGAGCAGCAGTGAGGCTTACTCCTATGACCAGAGAAAGTGAAATATTCCTAGATATTAAAAATGACACAATCCGCTAATAATAACAACGCAAGCTTATCGTAACACTTTGCTGTACTCATTCATTGCGTGTGGAAGTAGGGAGAACGCAAATGTTATGGCTTATAAAAGTGTTGAACAAAGTGTTGACAGTGCTGAATAACAACTTAAACATGAACTTACACATAAAAACAGCAGCTCTTTGCTGTATTCGTTGAGATGCTCTCTAGTCATGGTTTTAAACATTTTTAAATCTCTCAGTATCAAATAGGAAAGCAAAGATTTATCGTTGGGTTTTTACAGAAATGTTTGGTGATTGACTAGGAAAGCCTTGGAGACCACTGCTGTAGGACAAGGGTTTTATATAAATAATACTCACCCTCCAGCAGGACTGGCGGCGGTGCTTTCCGTTGTTGTAGCTGCGGCTGTGTTGGTCACTGAGGGTCAGAGCGATGAAGTCCTTTCTGGATGGGGGGTACATCTCTCCAGCTGAATGGTACAGTCATAGGCCATAGACGCTGGACTGAGGGGATGGGGAAGAGAAGGAAATAATTTAGGAATAATTGACTTCATTTTGACCCATTAAACTAACTGTAACTATTTGCAAGGTGGCTTTTTATTGACAGCTAACATTACTTGAATTAAGAGTAGTAATTAAGTAATGAGTAATTAACACATCAAGACCAGTTAGATAGCAACTGAACTGTTCAGAAAAAAGGCTAGCTAAATGTTCGACTAACATTAGTTAGTTGGCTGGCATGATTCATAACTCCAAAAGACAAGGCTTTTTACAATTTGCCTTGTCTTTGGAGTTAAGAATTATAGCTAGAAGTTATATGAATCATAGCTATTTGGCTGGCTGACTTTGCAGCTAGCTAGCTAGCTATAGCTACAGCGCCTTCAGAAAGTACAGTGGCTTGCGAAAGTAGTCTCATCTGACCAGAGTACCTTCTTCCATATGTTTGGGGAGTCTCCCACATGCCTTTTGGTGAACACCAAACGTGTTTGCTTATTTTTTTCTTTAAGCAATGGCTTTTTTCTGGCCACTCTTCCGTAAACCCCAGCTCTGTGGAGTGTACGGCTTAAAGTGGTCCTATGGACAGATACTCCAATCTCCGCTGTGGAGCTTTGCAGCTCCTTCAGGGTTACCTTTGGTCTCTTTGTTGCCTCTCTGATTAATGCCGTCCTTGCCTGGTCTGTGAGTTTTGGTGGGCGGCCCTCTCTTGGCAGGTTTATTGTGGTGACATATTCTATCAATTTTTTTATAATGGCTTTAATGGTGCTCCGTGGGATGTTCAAAGTTCCTGATATTTTTTTATAACCCAACCCTGATCTGTACCCTCCACAACTTTGTCCCTGACCTGTTTGGAGAGCTCCTTGGTCTTCATGGTGCCACTTGCTTGGTGGTGCCCCTTGCTTAGTGGTGTTGCAGACTCTGGGGCCTTTCAGAACAGGTGTATATATACTGAGATAATGTGACAGATCATGTGACACTTAGATTGCACACAGGTGGACTTTATTTAACTAATTATGTGACTTCTGAAGGTAATTGGTTGCACCAGGCTTCATAGCAAAGGGGGTGAATACATATGCATGCATCACTTTTCCACATTTTGTTGTGTTACAGCCTGAATTTAAAATGGATTACATGGAGATTTTTTTGTCACTCCCCTACACACAATACCCCATAATGTCAAAGTGGAATTATGTTTTTCTAAATGTTTGCAAATTAATAAAAAATCAAAAGCTGAAATGTCTTGAGTCAATAAGTATTCAACCCCTTTGTTATGACAAGCCTAAATAAGTTTAAAATGTGCTTAACAAGTCCCATAATAAGTTGCATGGACTCACTGTGTGTGCAATAATAGTGTTTAACCTGATTTTTGAATGACTACCTCATCTCTGTACCCCACACACACATAGCTGCAGGACGTAGGGGTGCTGAGGGTGCTGCAGCACCCCCTGAAAAATCAGAATAAAGAAAATAAATATTAATACTTTTTTTTCTCCCAAAAGTTGTGCACTGGGCCTTTACTAGTCCTGTGTTAAAGGCGCTGCATGGTCAATCCAATAGCTGCATTGACCATGCAGCATTTACGTTGATACGGCCTCTGCAGAAGTTAGGGCATTCATACTTCTTACGCTTCACGGAGCAGTGCAGAGCTGTTGTGAAGGAAGTTGTCAAGGAAGTGAGTTTGTGTTTATACAGGACCTCCCGCCCCCAACTACCGTCAACCAATCATGACAATGTGGAGCTATACGGAGCCCTCTGCATTGTTACAAAATTTGGGAGGCGTACAGCGATGCAGTACGGAGCTCAATTTGGCCTCTGCGTGCCTCTGAAGGCGCCGCAATTCTGTCACACCCTCCATACAAAGCCTCCGACTACATTTTCGGATCAAGCATAAATTGGCTTTTAGCGGACCAATATAGCCGTCTATAGCATGGGCAATAATGGGCCTTTACTAGTCCTGTATTAACAGACCAATATAGCCGTGGGCAAAATAAAAATCACAGCATCCCCACCCCCAAACATCTATGCCCACACATACAGTTATCTGTAAGGTCCCTCATTCGAGCAGTATATTTCAAACACAGATTCAACCAAAGACCAGGGAGGTTTTCCAATGCCTCGCAAAGAACGGCACCTATTGGTAGGTTTCTAAAAATGAAAAAAAGCAGACATTATATATCCCTTTGAGCAAGGTGAAGTTATTAATTACACCTTGGATGGTGTATCAATAAACCCAGTCACTACAAAGATACAGGCGTCCTTCCTAACTCAGTTGCAGGATAGGAAGGAAACCGCTCAAGGATTTCACCATGACGCCAATGGTGACTTTAAAACAGTTACAGTTTAATGGCTGCGATAGGAGAAAACTGAGGCTGTACATTGTAATTACACCACAATACTAACCTAATTGACAAAGTGAAAAGAAGGAAGCTTGTACAGAATAAAAATATTCCAAAACATGCATCCTGTTTGCAACAAGGCACTACAGTAATACAAAAAAAAATGTGGCAAAGCAATTCACTTTTTGTCCTGAATACAAAGTGTTATTTTTGGGGCAAATCCAATACAACACATATACTGAGTATCACTTTCCATATTTTCAAGCATAGTGCTGGCTGCATCATGTTATGGGTATGCTTGTAATCGTTAAGGACTGGGGAGTTTTTCAGGATGAAATGAAATGGAATGGAGCTAAGCACAGGCAAAATCCTAGAGGAAAACCTGGTTCAGGCTGCTTTCCACCAGACACTGGCAGATGAATTCACCTTTAAGCAGGAAAATAACCTAAAACACAAGGCCAAATCTACACTGGAGTTGCTTACCAAGAAGACAGTGAATGTTCCTGAGTGGCCGAGTTACAGTTTTGACTTAAATCTACTTAAAAATATATGGCAAGACCTGAAAATGGTTGTCTAGCAATGATCAACAACCAAAATTTGACAGAGCTTGAAGAAATAATAAATGGCCAAATGTTGCACAATCCAAGTGTGGAAAGCTCTTAGAATTTTACAGCTGTAACCGCTGCCAAAGGTGCTTCTACAATGACAAAGTATTGACTGAATACTTATGTAAATGTATTTTCCTTTTCAATACATTTGCTAAAATTTCTAAAAACATATTTTCACTTTGTCATTATGGGGTATTCTGTGTAGATGGGTGAGAGAAAATCAATTGAATCCATTTTGAATTCAGGTTGGAACAAAACAACATGTGGAATAACTAAAGGGGTATGAATACTTTCTGAAGGCACTGTACAGTATGTCACTCAAACTCCCCCATAAGCTTACCCTTTCCCGTTGTAACCAGGTAGCTGTCCTCTGTCCTTGTCACTGAAAACTAGCTGGCTATCCTATAACCTACAACAGAATATATTTGCTCCTTGCTAGCTATCCAATTGTTGACTTTTAACGTTACTGTTGAAAACTGATACACATTTCTCGCAAGTGAAGAGAGAGAGAATACCTTTCATTTTTCCAGTAACAACATGGCAAGCTAGCTTGTTAGCTAACGTTACCTCTCTTTCTTCCTTTTCGTTTACCTCCAAACAGTGGACGGTTTTGCAAAGACCAACGTTTAGCTAGGTTCGGGTACCCAGTGTAGTAGATTTTACTAACCTCAACTGTTGAAAATGGTAGGTTAGCAGCAGCTGCATCCTCATGAAGACAGCTCACCAGAGACAGTTCAGTGTGGGTCACATGACTCGAGGCCGCGTCATCATTGGTTGCGCGTGCGTTAACCCATACTAACATACTGTACTGTCTTTGCCCATACTTTCTGAGATTGAACAAAGCGCCAACTAGTCTTGGAAATCCTAGACCTATAGCAACTGAAACATTGTTTACATTGTGGGAGGCAACCGGTCTGCCTAGGGAGACTAAGCATCATTAACATTTTTACATCAAGAAACTGTTTCTTTTAAATAAACCTCTAGTCATTTGGACTATAGTTGATACAATATGAAAGTACAGAATACTGTTATGTGAATTTTTTTATTCAGCTAATACATTTCTTTGAATGAGATGCTGAATTATACACAGGTATAAAAATGTCCAGCATATAATTTCAAGACAATAATAACAGAATATCAAATGAGGAGGATTTGTACAAAACAATAACTAAAAAAGCATCAATGATCAGTCTCAGCCAGCTAAGGCAATCATTTTGAATGTTGATGTTAGGCTACTAATTGCATGTGTTTAGGATATAAAAAAAAAAGGATAAATGACTAATACATAGACTTTCTAAAAAAAAAATGAACATTGTTCACAAAAACACCCACAGCTGCAGGAGCCTGAGAAATCAAATCAAATCTTATTTGTTACACGTGCCGAATACAGGTGTAGACCTTACCGTGAAATGCTTACACCTACCTATCCCCCCTACCTATCAGTGATCCAAGTGTGTTCGCTGACAACATTTAGAGAATAAGCCTTATACTAGAAAGGACACTGTGGTCTTCTTGTACGCCATTAGAGAGAATTGTGTCTAACCTTTTACGAAAAATGTCTATATGCAATGCTTGGAATGTTCTTCCTGGAGTTTGTTATGGGAGGTGGCTACTGATTGGGGGATGAGTACTTATAAGACTGAACATTATACATATTCCTTTATGCAAGCTACTGCATGCTAAGACTGAACGCTCCCTGAGACCTTCCTGAATTCCCTGTCCGTTGGTTGGCCGTTACAAATAGAGACAGACCACTACAGTACTGAATTGCTCTATGACAGAAAAAATGTAATGCACTGCTCTCAATGGCCCGTATTCACAGTCTCAGAGTAGGAGTGCTGCTCTAGGATCAGGTCCCCAAATCCATATAATTATGATCTAAAAGGCAAAACTGATCCTTGATCAGTTTTGTGAACACAGGCCAATGAAACCACCTCTTGAGCAATCCTAGCTTTGCTGAGCAGCTACAGGGTATGCTGCTTTACTTTGAGCCTCAGCACTTAATTTTTGGAACAAAGAGAGGACTCGGAAAGCGATTGCTCAGTGCTAAAGTGCTTGGGCAGGAGAGCCAGCAGCCCAACATAATGCCCCTTTATTAGAATACCTGAAACAGATTTAAAACATGTCAAATTTGTTATGTTTTTAATAATACACATCACGTAGTGTGCACATCAGTGTCTGTGTTGAATATCAAGACTGTACCTGAGACTATACCATAAGAATGAGCTGAAACAAGCACTGACAGTATGCGGTACATGATTTTTACAAATAAGAAATAGGCCAGTAACTGTACAAATGTCAAGCATGGCTGAAATAAGGTTTCTTGCCCCAATCACTGCCAACAGAGAGGGAATAGGTTAATTACAAGAGATCAGGGTTTTAGAACCGATTGGTTATTATCTAATTTAAAGAAACAAGCTCAACAACTCAACAGCAAGTTTTTTGGGCACCTCAAGTACAAGCAGTGGTTTTTCAGTGAGCACTTTTGGAAAGGTCAATGATGACCCATAAGACAACATTAGCTGTGTCCAAATGGAACACATTGTTGACAGGTTGAATCCACTGCATCGGATACAAAACAGACCATTCTCGCATAGGACTGTTCATACATATGTAGGATCTTAATTCGAGCCAGTTTGCTACAGCAGGAAAATAATCCTGCATCAACAGGAAATGTGGATTATAATTAATGGACATTTTTTGATAATTTTTTTGTTATGGCAAATAAAGTCAGGGATTTTCAAATGGAAATTACAAACTTTAGAAGCCTTTTTTAACCTCGAATACACTAAAAGTTTCCCATTTCCTGCTGTGCAGGAAAATTCTCATCAACAAAAAAGTGATCAAATTAAGATCCTTCATCTGTATTCTAAATAGGTTGTTGGCTATAATGGAAGGCTTTACAACATCATAGTCCCATGTAGCTCAGTTGGTAGAGCATGGCGCTTGCAACGCCAGGGTTGTGGGTTCGATTCCCACGGGGGACCAGTATGAAAAAATGTATGCACTAACTAACTGTAAGTCGCTCTGGATAAGAGCGTCTGCTAAATGACTAAAATGTAAAATGTAATAAACTGCTGCTAAAATGTTTTTTGAAAAAGATTCAAAAGAACCATTATATATAGAAATCAAAACAACATTATATAAATTATTCATTACACGATAAACGTCTCTGTAAACAAAAATACAATTGTCAGGAAGTATTTGAGCCTGTGGAAATTGATGCCCTCTCAAAGAGTCATTTATGTGGAGCCAGTCGACAAGAGAATTAATCGATGTTCTCCACCAAAAATATCAGATGGAAAGAGGAGTGATGCCCTCACAAAATGGTGGAGCGATTCCCTTTGTCCTCTTGTTCTCTAGTTGTCTTGGGGTCCTGAACACAGGCTCTTATCCTGGCTCTGTGAGTCCAAGCGAGTGGAAAAGGAGCATAAGGGCCCCCTCTCTCCCTCTCTAGCTGAAACAGACGGGCCCGATGGTGAAGCCAAACTCATGTGTGACGTTTCCACCCCCGAAGACAGCCACATCTCTCACAGGAAGCAGGTTGAGGTCCTCAAACTCAAACACAGACTCCCGCGGCTCCAGCGAGTCCACCTCTTCTCCAGGCTGCCACAACACAAACATAGAAACACAGCGAAGCATTAACACAGTGAATCAGAAACAGTTGAATCAGTAACACATTTGAATCACTAATACAGTTGAATCAGTAACACAGATGAATCAGTAACACGATTGAATCATCAACACAGTTGGCTTGGGATAAGCATCAGCAATCCTGCAAACAGATGTCTTTCATGCTTGATATATAGATATTGTATCTCTTTGATGATACAGTTACTTTTACCAATGGGTGAAATATTTAATTACATTTTTGTCTATTGCATCAAAATCAATGTACCATGCAGTCTTTAAGTGCTCCCAAGTAACTCTGCCTCCTTGTGTCTGCCAGGAACTTGACCTCTCTGTCTGTGTGGCCCAGCCTGTGTCCCGGGTGGCAGGAGTAGATGATCCTTTGCACGGCTTTCCAACTCTGCAACCTCAGGAAACGCATCTGAACCACATTGGCCCCTGGGTAATAGAACTGCCAGTGGACAGGGGAGACGGAGGGGTTGTTTGTGAACAATTATGCTTTATACCTCTGCTATGACAGTCTAAGACACACCAGTACAAATGGAAAACAGCCCATTTATGCATTTTCAATTGAATTGACCTAACTATGAATTGGGATGTTCAGAGAATAGTTGACACTGGAGAGAGAGCATGACAGGCTGAGGAAGAGGGCGCATCAAAGAGGAGAATGAGAGAGTTATAGAGAATGATAGAATGAAAGAGAAAACAGTCAACCTGGAATCCTTGTTCCAGCTTGCTGAGCCATTGGAATGAGCTATTTGTCTCGGAATCCTTTAGCCACGCCTTCATGGTCATCTACAGGTAGAAACCGTTATGATTATGTATTATGAGTATGGGTATTAAGTATGAATTTGATTGTGGACATTAGGTTTCAATTGTCAGACACACAATGCTTGATGTCATGAATTCTAAAAAGTTAACACTGATATCTGGAGGCAAATCACTTACAAATGTGTCTGTTCACAATCCTTGATATTAGCATTTAGCTCAAAGGCAAAAAAATCAATTGGATTCCTGTTATAAATGGATTTGTTCTCCGCTAGTCCAGACAGCATCTCATTATTCTGTAGCCACCTGCTGCATTTGGTATTGCAGGAGCATCCCCACTGAGGGATAGATAGAGAGGTGTGAGGGTGAGAGGTGAGGTGTGTGGGGTACTGATGATGTTGTTGTCTACCTGGGCGTCTCGAGGGTGAAGGCAGGTCTGTGCGGCTGTGCCAGAGAAGTTGCAGTAGGCCAGGAGAGCATCGTTGGGGCTGCCCTGGTTGGGGTCAATGTAATACATCCCTGTACAGACAGACAGCAACCATAACCTCAGAGTTAGTGTACCCTCATCCTGACCTGAAACATTCCTGTATATTCACTAGTTTTCATATGATTCGACTTGCAGGGACATATTCTCTAGCGGGTACTTATTGGCTGAAAGGCCCAGCGGTTCTAAATGAAATAAAATCAATTCAAATGTTATTTGTCACATGCGCCGAATACAACACGTTTAGACCTTACTGTGAAATGCTTACATACAAGCCCTTAACCAACAATGCAGTTTTAAGAAAATAGAGTTAAGAAAAAATTTACTAAATAAACTAAAGTAAAAAATCAAATAAAAAGTAACACAATAAAATAACAATAACGAGGCTATATACAGGGGGTACCGGTACCGAGTCAATGTGTGGGGGTATAGGTTAGTCAAGGTAATTTGTAGGGGTAAAGTAGGTAGGGGTAAAGTGACTATGCATAGATAATAAACAGAGAGTAACAGCAGTGTAAAAACAAGGGGGGGGGTGTCAATGCAAATAGTCTGGGTGGCTTTGATTAATTGTTCAGCAGTCTTATGGCTTGGGGGTAGAAGCTGTTAAGGAGCCTTTTGGACCTAGACTTGGCACTCCGGTACCGCTTGCCGTGCGGTAGCAGAGAGAACAGTCTATGACCTGGGTGACTGGAGTCTTTGACAATTTTCTGGGCCTTCCTCTGACACCGCCTAGTACATAGATCCTGGATGGCAGGAAGCTTGGCCCCAGTGATGTACTAGGCCGTACGCACTACCCTCTGTAGCGCCTTATGGTCGGATGCCGAGCAGTTCCCATACCAGGCGGTGATGCAACCGGTCAGGATGCTCTCGATGGTGCAGCTGTAGAACTTTTTGAGGATCTGGGGACCCAAGCCAAATCTTTTCATTCTCCTGAGGGGAAAAGGCATTGTCGTGCCCTCTTCACGACTGTCTTGGTGTGTTTGGACCATGATACGTTTGTTGGTGATGTGGACACCAAGGAACTTGAAACTCTCTACCCGCTCCACTACAGCCCCGTCGATTTGAATGGGGGAGTGTTCGGCCCTCCTTTTCCTGTAGTCCACGATCAGCTCCATTGTCTTGCTCACATTGAGGGAGAGGTTGTTGTCCTGGGACCACACTTCCAGGTCTCTGACCTCCTCCCTATAGGCTGTATCATCGTTGTCAGTGATCAGGCCTACCCCTGTTGTGTCGTCAGCAAACTTAATGATGGTGTTGGATGCGTGCTTGGCCACACAGTGGTGGGTGAACAGGGAGTACAGGAGGGGACTGAGCACGCACCCCTGAGGGGCCCCCATGTTGAAGATCAGCGTGGCAGATGTGTTGTTGCTTACCCTTCCCACCTGGGGGGTGGCCCGTCAGGAAGTCCAGGATCCAGTTGCAGAGGGAGGTGTTTAGTCCCAGGGTCCTTAGCTTAGTGATGAGCTTTTTGGGCACTATGGTGTTGAATGCTGAGCTGTGGTCAATGAACAGCATTCTCACATAGGTGTTCCTTTTGTCCAGGTGGGAAAGGGCAGTGTGGAGTGCGATTGAGATTGTGTCATCTGTGGATCTGTTGGGGCGGTATGCGAATTGGAGTGGGTCTAGGGTTTCCGGGATGATGGTGTTGATGTGAGCCATGACCAGCCTTTCAAAGCACTTAATGGCTACCGACGTGAGTGCTACGGGGCAGTAGTCATTTAGGTTGGTTACCTTCGCTTTCTTGGACACAGGGACTATGGTGGTCTGCTTGAAACATGTAGGTATTAAAGACTCGGTCAGGGAGCGGTTGACAATGTCAGTGAAGACACTTGCCACATCCGACGAGCGTCAGAGCCAGTGTAGTAGGATTCAATCTTAGTCCTGTATTGTTGCTTTGCCTGTTTGATGGTTAGTCTGAGGGCATAGCGGGATTTCTTATAACACAAAGGATATACTGGTCCGGGAGAAACAGTATATCCTTCGCGTCAGACTCATTAAAGAAAAAATCTTTGTCCAGTTGGAGGAGAGTATTCACTGTTCTGATATCCAGAAGCTGTTTTCGGTCATAAGAGACGGTAGCAGCAACATTAAGTACAGAATAAGTTACAAACAATGCGAAAAAAAACACTAAATAGCACAATTGGTTAGGAGCCCGTAAAACGGCAGCCATCCCCTCTGACGCCATTATATATATCTAGTGTTAAGAGCTAAGAGATCTTTCTCTGAGAACTAGCCATACAATAGATAACATTGTCTTTATTTACTTCACAATATGGGCTATTTGATAACGGAGCTTCTAATTTGCATTGAAAACTTGGGAGTCCTGAGATTAGGATGCTGTGGCCATTCTTATGAGCCTTTATTGTAGCACAAAGGGCTTTGGGTTATAGATATACAGTACTGGTATAGACAGAGGGTTTCTGACCGCTGGCGTAGTCGGGGTGGCAGAGCCACAGCTCCATGCAGGTGGTGGCAGGGTGCTCCTTGCTGCCATCAGGGGGGTCCACCAGCAGCCTCAGGTCCTGGTGCAGAGAGTCCAGCAGGGTCTGGATCAGAGGGTAGTTGGGCTTATCTGACAGGTACTTAAGGTCCTACAATGGTGATGAGAATAATATGATCATTATGGAGTTATTCCTTCCAACAGTTCATCTAATGGCCTATTAAATCTTCATCCCAAAAGTAGTGCACTTGGTAGGGAATAGGGTACCATTTGGGACACAGACCTACTCGCTGATCATAAATGACTTGCCTTGAGTTGAGTAAGGGTCATGTTCACTGAGGGACCTGTAAGTCCTGGGAGTCCAGGTGCCCCCTGAAACAAATGCAACAGAAGAGTGGAACTAGGGTTGGAAAATTCTAGTAACTTTCCCAAAATTCCCAGGTTTTCCAGATATCCTGCTTGGAATATTCCTACAATCAGGTGGTAATATGCAGGAAATCGGGGAATCTTCCAACCAGGATTTCTGGAAAACTTGGGAATTTTGAGAAAGTAACCGGAATTTTGCAACCTCAAGTGCTGTGTAATGGATGCAATGGTATTGAGTCTCTGAGGTCAATGGACCGATGCATATGAAATCAGTGTCACTTACCGGCAGGCCTCTCGTCCCAGGTTGCCCAGGAAATCCCTCAAAACCTTTCAAACCCTATGGAAAAACAGAACATAGTGCGATGAGAGTGGATTTATACCATTCCATACTTGCAATGGCATATTCAAATGTAATTTGATAAGGAAATGCACACTGAAGCACTATCCTTTTACTTTCCTCTGTATGTTCCAGTGTGATGACATGATGTGGTTGTGAATGTTTGCTTTCAATCTAGACACTGTGAGACAAAGCTAACACACAACTCTAAATGGGGTTTGGTTTTGAAAGAAGATAATGTGTGTATGATTTGAAAAGACAAGAAAATAAAATGTTATATCATACCTTCTCTCCAAACAAACCCTACAGAGGAAGAGAGAATAAAAGGAGATGAGTTTGAATATCAGTTCTGAAGCACACAGCTCTGCACTAACAGCTGTTTCAACCTTTCAATGCCCTCTTACTCACTGCATTAAGATCACATTAGCTACAGCTTCACTGCTTTTAAGAGCCGAGGCAATGGCGTCTTCAATGGCCACGAGTTGAAAAGAGTAATAATCTACAGCTAAACCCGGAGAGAATGGCAGAATGGCAGGACAGTCTGGTGATAATAAGGAAATGGACTCGTGATCACAGAGTCTTACTTAAGACAGTCTGCAATTCAAAAGGAATTTGAGACATGATCCTTATCATCATAATAACATCTCGATGAAGCAATCATAGAGTCTTCGTCTTGATGGTTAATAGACAGGGGGGTTGTTAAGCTACGTGGCTGAAAGATGGACTTTGTGGTCTAGTGCTCGTTTGTCCTCGCAAGAACTATGATTTCACTTTGGCTGTGCCCCAAATGGCACCCTATTCCATACTGTATATAGTGCACTACTTTTGACCAAAGTAGTGAACTACATAAGGAATAGGGTGCCATTTGGGCGGCAGGTAGCGTTGTGCCAGTACCCGAGCCAACTAGGTGAAAAATCTGTTGATGTACCCTTGAGCAAGGCACTTAACCCTAATTGCTCCTGTAAGTCGCTCTGGATAAGAGCGTCTGCTAAATGACTAAAATGTAAATGTAAAATGTGTGAAGATTTAAAAGGACTTGAGAATATATTTCTGAGATGATCCAGAAAGGGGACTTACAGGTAGTCCTGGCATCCCAGGTGTTCCTCTTGGCCCGGATGGTCCAATATTCCCCTGGTGGGAAATAATAGATAATGAAAAGTGATCAATCAATCTTTTCAGAAAGACAAAGAAACCAAAACTCTGATAGAACACTTTAGATTGATGAGCCTCATCATGGCTTTTGGCAATTGTCACTAGTGGATATGGTGTTATCATAGAGAGTTCTTGCTATAGATGTTTTGAGAGGAACGGTGTGTTGAGATAGTGTTGTTTTACCTGATCTCCCTTTGGACCCGCCTGTCCTGGTACCCCAACAGGACCTAGACTACCCTGTAAAATATACAGTTAGTCAGTCTGTCTGTCCTCGCACCCCAACAGGACCCAGACTACCCTTGTAAAATATACAGTTAGTCAGTCTGTCTGTCCTGGCACCCCAACAGGACCCTGACTACCCTGTAAAACATACGTCTGTCACAGCCCATCTACTACTTACAGCAGAGTATTTTAGGCAACGTCATATTTCTGGAATGTTGCCAAAACTGTCAGTATGTTGTTTTTCTATGGTGTTAAAACTGACACCAGGGCTCGTTTGTAGTGTCTCAGAGTAGGAGTGCTGATCTAGAGACATTTTATGAATGCCAGTTTTTCACACAAGTCAGAATGTACCTTTAGGCCATCACCCCCTGGCGGACCGAGCGGCCCTATGTTCCCCATTTCTCCCTGTGGGGAGAGAACATAGAGGGTTACGTCTTCACAGTTCACTTCTCTCTAAATTCACTAGTATCAATAATTCAGCCTGATCTATTCATACCTCGTTCCCCTTTTCACCCTGATCCCCCCTGTCTCCTCGCAAGCCTGGGATTCCCTGAGAGAGAAAAGACATCCATCAGTTGTATATCAATCATCAGCTGATCTAAAGCATCATGTAACAATGCATTGCTTTCAACATCCTTTTCTCCAATCAAATAATACTTCTGACAAAGGAGAAGTACATAAGAGACTATCCCTGGCTGGGATTGAATTATGAAATGGTGAAATAGAGATGTGGATGACGACAGTCCTAATTGATGAGAGTATAAATCTGTTAGACTTACTATAGACCCCGCCCATCCTGGAACACCAATCAATCCCACATTTCCCCTCTCTCCCTGTAGGAATGACAGGAAACATTGGTGCACACCATGAAATAGTATAGTATATAGCATGGTTAAGAGATTGTGTGTGTGTGTGTGTGTGTGTGACCCTTCACATCACCCAACCTCTGACCTTTGGTCCTCTCTCTCCTCTTGTGCCCCTGATTCCAGCCTTGCCTCTTTTCCCCTGTGGATGTTTATAATGTTGGTGAACGAGGCAATACACACAGGGTAAAACACAGACACATCTCGGTCATGTCCTAAATGACACCCTATTCCCTTTATAGTGCACTCAAAAGTAATGCACTATAAAGGGAATAGGGTGTCATGTATTTAGGGAACAGGGTGCCATTTGGGATGCATCCCTCATCTTTCATTCATGAACATAAATACTTTTTTTTCTTCTTCTAGAATACACCCGTTTTATTTACACTGTGAAATTGAATGGATTGAAGGAGGGAGCTCTTACACTCCTTCCGATGTGACCTGTCTTTCCAGGTGATCCATCTCTGCCATCATCTCCCTGTAGAGGAAACACAGCATCAACAAACAGTGGGACCTAATCTAGCCTCTCTGTATGCACAAGTGTCCCCAGAGAGGTGAGGAGAATATAGGACCTGAGACTGGGTTTCACAGCACAAAGAAGAGAATCATAGAGAAACAGAGGATCCTGATCTCACCTTCTCTCCTTTCAGTCCCTGTTTTCCCTCAGGTCCTGGGCTTCCCCTGACACCCTGCAACATTCAACACAATAGAATGACTTAAAGAAACTTCCCAGATGTCAGAGCAAGATAATCGGGTAGAAAATATCAGTGACCTTCCGGTAGTGCTGCTAGTTTTTCAACATCACAATATGTCCATTTGACACTGCTTGAGGTCATCAATATCAGCGAAATAATAAACCCAGACTGAAACCAGTTTCTATAAGAGCATAGTGCACTACTTACATCATCTGTGGAATCCCTGTGCCCCACCCCTGTGTCTGTGTACTCACCAACGCTCCTAGGGGACCTTCTGGACCCTGGGCTCCTACCTCACCCTGTGGCCCCTGTGGTGGGAGAGGAGACAACAACAAACAAGGAAGAATGAAGCCGAAGCAAAGAGGATAATATAATATGTAGTTAATGGTAGATATGTCTATGAGGAAAGATTTTGCTAGCCTGAGTGCCGGACATGTTTGACTTGATAATGAGAAATGGAGTTGGCAAGTACACCAACAGATCTGGGACCAGGCTAAGATGTTGCTGTTCTTTACCTCCAAACCAAGAAGCGCTGGGGGCCCTCTGATGCCTGGCAGACCGTCAAGCCCCTAGAGAGACAATTACAAAATAAAAACATATATTGTAGACTATTTCTGATTTATTGCATGGTACAATATATTATGAAAATGATATTCATAATTAAACCAGACATGAAATTGGGGTTAAATGGGGTACTGTCTAATTCCCCTGAACATTGGACTTGCTTTAGGGGCCTAAGGGCCAAACTGACTGCAACACTGAATGGGCTCACCTGTTCTCCTGGCTCGCCTGGTCCCCCTGCCTCCCCTTTCTCCCCGTCTAGTCCTGGCTCACCTTTATGGCCCAAGTCTCCCTCAGGCCCAACCTTCCCTACTGGACCCTGCAATAGATAACCACACCAGCACATGGATGATGTTATTCGTAGGATAATCACTGGGAACATGGCTGACTTGACTAGACCCGTGGTCTGAGAGACAGTGAGACACTGACCTGTGGTCCTGGCTTCCCTGTGTCACCTCTGACCCCTTGAACTCCAGCCACCCCCTGAGAATACAACAAGACAACATGAAATCAGACCAAAAGGACAAATGGATAATACCATTCACCATGCACACAGTATCAGTACTATAATAATTAGGTTATGAAGCGACTCTTACCGGAGGTCCTTGTTTGCCTTGAGGTCCGATGGCTCCAGTAGGCCCAGACTCCCCCTGGGGAGAAAGAGACAGAGAAAACAGATGGGAATTATCGATAGAAGCGTTTATAATTTCCCTATCCTGAATTCCTCCTCCATTTGGTGTGCAGGCCAGGGAATCAAGTTATTACCTTCTCTCCTAGAAATCCATCTGGCCCTGGAGGCCCCCTAGGGCCCATGATACCCTGAGAAGAAGCAGAAAGGACCAATGGATCACTGTACACCCTGACAACAACTCCATAGAAATCGACAACCTAGACACCCAACATAGAACATGAACACATAGACTGCACACACCCTGGCTCAACATAATGAGTCCCAGAGCCAGGGTGTGACAGTACCCCCCCCTAAAGGCGCGGACTGCGACCGCGCCTCAAAAACCCCAAACAGGGGAGGGCTGGGCGGGCATACCTCCTCGGCGGCGGTTCTGGCTCCGGCCTTGACCACCACCCTCCGATACCCCCCCCAAAGTACCCCTGGTCCTGTCTAGCCCCGCTGGCCGGAGCCGGACTGACGACACGCGCCCCTGGCTTGGTGCATGGAACAGGAATGGACCGGAATGGGCTGGCGACGCGCACCACAGACCTGGTGCGGAGAGCAGGAACGAGCCGGACAGGGCTGACGACGCACCCCGTAGGCCTGGTGCGTGGAGGAGGAACGGGCCTTACCAGGCTGACTTCTCGCACCCCTGGCTTAGTGCGAGTGGCAGGAACAGGCCGGACCGGGCTGGCGACGCGCACCGTAGGCTTGGTGCGAGTGGCAGGAACAGGCCGGGTCGGGCTGGCGACGCGCACCGTAGGTCTGGTGCGAGTGGCAGGAACAGGCCGGGTCGGGCTGGCGACGCGCACCGTAGGTCTGGTGCGAGTGGCAGGAACAGGCCGGGTCGGGCTGGCGACGCACACCGTAGACTTGGTGCGGGTGGCAGGAACAGGCCGGGCAGGGCTGTCGACGCACACCGTAGCCTTGGTGCGTAGAGCAGGAACAGGCCGGGCAGGACTGTCGACGCACACCGTAGCCTTGGTGCGTAGAGCAGGAACAGGCCGGGCAGGGCTGGAGACGCGCACCGTCCATTTGGTGCGAGGGGCCGTAACAGGCCGGACCGTACTGGGGACACACACCACTGGCTCTACTCCAGGAACTGGAACGGGCCGGACCGGACTGGTAACACACCCCAGTACCTCTCGCCGTGCCTCTACACCTCCTTTCCCTACTTTGACCAGTAGCCCCCGTAACCTGGTGGCCCTTTGAATCCGCCCCTTCTCTGCCTCCGTTAGCCCCATCGTCCATGCCCTGTGCCCCCCCCTAAAAATTTCTTGGGGGTGCCTCTCGTCCCGCCGACGCTGCTCCCACGTCCAGGCTGCCTGTTCCTGGACACGCTGCTTGGTCGTAGTATGGTGGGTTTTTCTGTCACGATCGTCTTCAAAAGGAGCAGACCAATACGCAGCGTGTTGAGCGAACATGATGACTTTATTATACTACAGTGCCAAAACAATAAACGATACATGAAGTCCACAGTTACAATGACCGTAAAGGAACAAAAACCCACCACCCCAAGGTGAAAACACACAGTATAAATATGGCTCCCAATCAGAGATAACGAGCCGACAGCTGACACTCGTTACCTCCGATTGGGAGTCATAGACCAAACATAGAAATCGACAACCTAGACACCCAACATAGAACATGAACACATAGACTGCACACACCCTGGCTCAACATAATGAGTCCCAGAGCCAGGGTGTGACACATCTCAAACTTAATTTCCCCAATTCCTTGCATCCTATCTCCTTTCTTTCTCCTCAACCATACTGGAGAAGAAGATTAAAGGTCCCTCACTTCAGGCCTTCTTCTCCAATGGGTTTTGAGAAAGAAGCAAGAAAAGTGGGTGAGGAAAATGAATTGAGAATGAGCCTAACAGAGCAGAGAAGTCTAACCTATTGGGAAATATATGTGCAAAAGTGGATATTGATCAATGCGAGTTAATGTCAACACATTTATTTTGACTTTGAGTGACATACACAGTATATGATGCTGGTCAATACTTGTCAGAGAAAAACATGTCACTTTATGACTCACCTGTAGCCCTGACAAGCCTGCAGGTCCTATTTCTCCCATGAATCCTGGCTGACCCTGGTGGATACAGCACAGAGGTGATGTACCAGTCATCAAATTGATCACCCAAAGCCACGTCTCAAAAATCATATTGAAAATCACTTCAGTTGATTCCGTTTCATGGTTTCAAGACATAAGCTAGAATGTGCAGCTCATTATGTATTGGCATCTGGGCACTCACCATAAGTCTGATGTGGCCCTTCTCTCCTTTTGGTCCCTTCTCCCCATTTTCCCCCAGGGCCCCCCATGGACCCTCCCGCCCTGTGGGCCCCAGAGGACCCACATCACCCTGCAAATAACAACCATGTCAGTCAGACATCACCATGACGTAATTTCAACCAGATTTTAAAATGTCTGTAATGAGGTTATTTCAACCACAAATCGACCTGTTTGTAATGATGCTATTTCAGCCAGATTTCAACCTGTTTGTAATGTCATTATGTCAACAAGATTTTAACCTGTTTATAATGACTTCATTTATTTTATTTTTATTTCACCTTTATTTAACCAGGTAAGCCAGTTGAGAACATGTTCTCATTTACAACTGCGGCCTGGCCAAGATAAAGCAAAACAGTGCGGTAAAAACAACAACAACACAGAGTTACATATGGAATAAACAAAACGTACAGTCAATAACACAATAGAAAATCTATATACAGTGTGTGCAAATGTAGTAAGTTATGGAGGTAAGGCAATAAATAGGCCATAGTGCAAAATAATTACAATTATAATTTAGTATTAACACTGGAGTGATAGATGTGCAGAAGATGATGTGCAAATAGAGATACTGGGGTGCAAATGAGCAAAATAAATAACAATGTAAATAACAATATGGGGATGAGGTAGTTGGGTGGGCTAATTACAGATGGGCAGTGTACAGGTGCAGTGATCGGTAAGGTGCTCTGACAACTGATGCTTAAAGATAGTGAGGGAGATAAGTGTCTCCAGCTTCAGATATTTTTTGCAGCAGAGAACTGGAAGGAATGGCGACCAAAGGAGGTGTTGGCTTTGGGGATGACCAGTGAGATACAGTATACCTGCTGGAACGCATACTACGGGTGGGTGTTGCTATGGTGACCAATGAGCTAAGATAAGGCGGGGATTTCCCTAGAAGTGATTTATAGATGACCTGGAGCCAGTGGGTTTGGCGACGAATATGTAGTGAGGGCCAGCCAACGAGAGCGTACAGGTCACAATGGTGGGTAGTATATGGGGCTTTGGTGACAAAATGGATGACACTGTGATAGACTACATCCAATTTGCTGAGTAGAGTGTTGGAAGCTATTTTGTAAATGACATCGCCAAAGTCAAGGATCGGTAGGATAGTCCGTTTTACGAGGGCATGTTTAGCAGCATGTGTGAAGGAGGCTTTGTTGCAAAATAGGAAGCCGATTCTAGATTTAACTTTGGATTGTAGATGCTTAATGTGAGTCTGGAAGGAGAGTTTACGGTCTAACCAGACACCTAGGTATTTGTAGTTGTCCACATATTCTAAGTCAGACCCGCCGAGAGTAGTGATTCTAGTCTGGCAGGCGGGTGCAAGCAGCGTTCGATTCAAGAGCACGCATTTAGTTTTACTAGCGTTTAAGAGTAGTTGGAGGCCACGGAAGGAGTGTTGTATGGCATTGAAGCTCGTTTGGAGGTTTGTTAACACAGTGTCCAATGAAGGGCCAGATGTATACAAAATGGTGTCGTCTGCGTAGAGGTGGACCTGAGAGTCACCAGCAGCAAGAGCGACATCATTGATATACACAGAGAATAGAGTCGGCCCGAGAATTGAACCCTGATTTTGCAGCTCTTTCAGAACATCAGCTATCTGAATTTGGGTGAAGGAGAAGCAGGGGGGGCATGGGCAAGTTGCAGCGGAGGGTGTAGAGCTGGTGGCCAGGGTAGGGGTAGCCAGGTGGAAAGCATGGCCAGCCGTAGCAAAACACTTGTTGAAATTTTCGATTATCGTAGATTTATCGGTAGTGACAGTGTTTCCTAGCCTCAGTGCAGTGGGCAGCTGGGAGGAGGTGCTCTTATTCTCCATGGACTTTACATTGTCCCAAAACTTTTTGGAGTTAGTGCTACAGGATGCACATTTCTGTTTGAAAAAGTTAGCCCTTGCTTTCCTAACTGATTGTGTATATTGGTTCCTGACTTCCCTGAAAAGTTGCATATCGCGGGGGCTGTTCGATGCTAATGCAGTACGCCACAGGATGTTTTTGTGCTGGTCAAGGGGAGTCAAGTCTGGGGTGAACCAGGGGCTATATCTGTTCTTAGTTCTGCATTTTGTGAATGGGGCATGCTTATTTAAGATGGAGAGGAAAGCACTTTTAAAGAACAACCAGGCATCCTCTACTGATGGAATGAGGTCAATATCCATCCAGGATACCCGGGCCAGGTCAATTAGAAAGGCCTGCTCGCTGAAGTGCTTTAGGGAGCGTTTGACAGTGATGAGGGGTGGTCGTTTGACCGCGGACCCATTACGGATGCAGGCAATGAGGCAGTGATCGCTGAGATCCTGGTTGAAGACAGCGGAGGTGTATTTAGAGGGTAAATTAGTCAGGATGATATCTATGAGGGTGCCCATGTTAACGGATTTAGGGTTGTACCTGGTAGGTTCCTTGATAATTTGTGTGAGATTGAGGGCATCTAGTTTAGATGTAATGTCATCATTGCAACCAGATTTCAACCTGTGTTTAATAATGTTATTTGAACCAGATTTCAACCTGTTTGTAACCACTACCAACACTTATATGGCCCTGTCAATAATTTGTGTCAAACGCACAAATGTTAATCAATGAATAGATATGCAATATACTGTACATACAGCACATTCATATTGATGGCTTAAATATGTGAATCATTGGGTGCCAAAAAGTCAGTGTTTGTTAACCTTCTCCCCTTTGGAACCTGGACCACCAGCATCGCCAAGAGGTCCAACATCACCCTGAGAACCAAAGGAGACATCTCTTGAGTTACACTGCTGAGTATACTGTATGTGTATGGTCTGATTGTGTGTATGATCCCTGGGTAAAGGGATGTGTACTAGGTGCACATGTGAGAATCTACAGGTGATGGTTCAGGTAGGTACAGTAGATGTCCAATGCCATAGGCAGGTGACGGTGCTCACCTCTTTTCCCATTGGTCCAGGAGAGCCTTGCAACCCTTTGAGCCCTTGTAGGCCTCGATCTCCAGGCTGCCCTGGAGGACCAAGCTTCCCACAAGGCCCTAGGTCCCCCTGAAATACATGTAAAGTTAAAGAAGAAGAAGTAGTGAGAAGTGACAGATGGTGAAATCTATCTCCAGGTGTTTGTTTAGGCATCATTGTGTCACTATCACCGACCTTTTCCCCTTTCGTTCCTGTTGGCCCCTCCATCCCTGATTGGCCAGGAGTGCCCTGGAAACAGGAAATGGAAGAGAACTGTCAGAAAACTCACCTGCCTAAGACCATAGAGTTTCTGTTCGGAGTGTGTCCTACCAACCTGTTCGCCATCCAGTCCAGGAGGACCAAGATCACCAGAAGGTCCCAGCATACCCTGTGATGTTCCAAAAAAGTGTGGTTTAACACACAGAACATCACAAATTGCAAGATTATACGTACTGTATTTAGGGGTGCAGAATTGCGCTAACTTTCCCAAATCAGTAGGGAATAAGCAGGAACCAGGATTAACCAGGATTCTTGAAAACCTGGAACATTTTGGGGAAGTTACCAGAATTTTGCAACCCTAGACATATCATTGTCATAATTGAGTTACACTTGCTGTACTTACCATTTCTCCTCTTTCCCCTGCTGGTCCAATTAGTCCACCAGCACCTGTCATTCCCTGAGGATGGACCACATAGGGTTTAAAATGGTGGACAACACAGCATCACAATGGAACACAGATTAGATTTTTAGATTCCAATTTTATTTAGTCACATGCACAGGGTCGCAGATGTAGTTGCACTGTATAGTGAAATTCTTAAGCTCCGAGCTCCAACAGTGCAGGTGTGAATGAAACAATAATAATACAAAATAAATAAGAATATATACATGTTTACAACTGAGACAATGACGAATATAAATGTCCAAGCTAAAGGGCTGTGCTTGGCATCCCAAACCATGCCAACTAAGCATCCAATGGGCTACGAATCGTAAGCCATGTAATAAATTACTAATAAATTGATTGATTTCACCCACTGAACCCTGACATAAAATGCATCCAACAGGCATCAGAGACTCAATGTCCCATGTTCTAGGAGTTTAGGAGGTTTTATACAGGTTCTACACACTTAGAAAATAGGGTTCTTTAAGGGTTCTTTGGTAAGGGAGATGGTTTTATGTGGAACCATAATGACTCAAAGAACCCTTTGAGCCCTGCAATGGTTATTTGCCATTCAGAAAAGGGTTCTTTCATCTTTGAGTGATAATCAAAATGTAGGGGCGGCGGTTCATTAGAATATTTTGGGGCCCGATTTGCTCACAGATCTTTTTGTGAAACCGTGAGTGAGAGTGTAATTCCAGTTGATCTGTTGTGTTATGTCATTACATGTTAAATATGAGTATGGCCAGTAACAGTGTCTTGTGAAAGACTCACGTAAGGCCTTGTGTCAATTGAGAACTGTTGACTAAATCAGTGGTTCTCAATTCTCTCCTCAGGGACCCCCAGCCGTTCCAGACACCTATGGAATTTTAACAATATAATATGGCTAACCAGCAAAAAAACCCTGTATGGATGTTTAAAAAGTTATTTGTAGAACCATTGAGATTGAGAAAGGTTCTTTATAGAACCATTCTCCATAAAGGTTCTACAAAGAACCATTCAAAAAAGGTTATTTAAAGCACCAGAAAGGGTTCCGCTATGGTCACAACCCTTTTTGATTCTTTAAATAACCTTTTTTGAATGGTTCTTTGTATAACCTTAGGAAAGGGTTCTTTATAGCACCATAAAGGTTTCCATTTAAAACTTTATGAGCATCTTTTTTTATAGAACCAAAAAAGGGTTCTACATACCATCAAAAAGGGATCCGCTATGGTGACAAGCCAAATAACCCTGATTTGCACTATATAGAACCATTACACACTTTTTAGTGTGTACAGAGATTACAGTCCTCAGATTTTGTTTAGAGGACAAGAGAGCAGCGTCTGGAAAGTAGTACCCACTGGGATTCCTGCTGGTCCATCAGGGCCTTGTGGCCCCGGAGGCCCCCTGCTTCCCCTGGGTCCTGGCTTCCCTGTGGCTCCATCTGAGCCCTGCAGACCCGTGGGGCCCTGGAACACATAGACAGGTGAGTAGCTTAATCTATTAGTCTTGTTCCCATTGTGTATTGTGTCTACATCATTGCTCTAGCCAAGCAAGACTAACTATATATTGACAGTGTATAGAGCATGGATCTGTAAGAACATTTGGCTGCTGAGGGAGTAGTGAAAAGGCCTGCTCTGCTGTAACTCACCTGTGGGCCCTCTAGCCCTGTGTGTCCCAGATCCCCTAGCCGACCCTGAGAAGAAAACCCAGAGACATCATTGAAAAACATGGACTACAAAATACAGCCACATTGCAGATTGATTTTTCTAAGGAGATATTTAGGAAATGTAGTTCTGGTATGTTTAGATTGATTTTTCAAAGGAGTTATTTAGGAAATGTAGTTCTGGTATATGATTCCATTTGATCTCACCTGAGGTCCTGGAGGGCCTCTCTCCCCAGGAGGTCCTGATAAACCCTATAAAATATAGCACAGTCAGTACAGGCTCAATACACCCATCATTCAAACTAAGGCCACACTCAATGAAGTTGTCTACAAGGACTTGTCACATACTGTATGTGGACTTTTTAATGACAGCACAGTTACTTACTGGAGATCCAGGCTTCCCAGTAAGACCAGGCAGGCCTCTCACACCATTCTCCCCCTGGGACATCAACACACAGTCCACCACACCAACACATTTGAAAGGAAATACACATAGAAACTTGTGATGCTGTTGGTATAAATTGAGGCCCACAGGTCTGGGATGGCCGTTTGGAATAATGTCCACTGATTACATAACTCATATGCCGTGTCCTTACCCTATCTCCGATGTGACCATTTGTGCCACGCATTCCCACGCTTCCCGGAAAACCCTGGGGGACGAGAAACACAGGACTGGTAATATAAAAAAGCAAAGTTGCACACACAGGATGGCATGGCAGAGTGTCATGAGTCAAAAGACCAAACAGAGACATTGTCAGTGTGTTGGTCAAACCCCTTGCCCTGTAGGCCCTACAGAAGCATCACTTACATACATGCCTACTGGCCCCTGGGGTCCCTCCACACCTTCCTTCCCGGTGAAGCCCTGATGCAGAGAGACAGCGACACACACACACACACGGTTCAAAGCTGTCCTATTTGAGAATCACATCACTCACATCCATGTTAAATGTGTCACTCACCCTCTCTCCCGGTGGCCCAGGGATACCTGTTGGTCCTGTCCGTCCAGGTGGGCCCTGCCAGTGATACAGTAGTCAGTCACACTGCACTCTGTGTGTGATGATGGCCGAAGTACCCAACACTAAATCAGTATTGGTTGCAATAGTGCTGTCTACTCATGCTAGACTCACCAGAGGGCCTGAACGGCCATCTAGACCTGGCTCTCCAGCAATGCCCTGGAATCCCTGGATGATAGAGAGAGTAAGAGTAGAGGATGAGAGAATGATAGAGAGAGGAAGAGTAGAGGATGAGAGAATGATAGAGAGAGGAAGAGTAGAGGATGAGAGAATGATAGAGAGAGGAAGAGTAGAGGATGAGAGAATGATAGAGGGGAAGAAAGAAGAGAAGGGTCCAGTCAATGAGAACCATTAAAATGCTAATATAAAACAAATCAGAATTGATTACATACTATCAAATGAAGATGTATGCACAACGCTGTGAGTCGATTCAGTGTTTAATTGAGTTTATACTTTTTTGGCTAACAGTTGTTTAATCTACCAATTAATGACTTTGTAATTATGATTATATATGTGGGGCTATTGAGTAATTGTGTCTCTGGTTATGTACAGAGGTTAACAGAACCCAATTTAATGATGAAAACATCAACAATGGAATAAAACTGTACCCATGTTCCTGCAAGGGACATTAAATCAATGAAGAACCTTCAGCTATTTACAGGTATTAACGGATATGTAGATGGCACATAACCTTTTCAAATTGATCATTATTGGTCATATTGCCCAGATGCCACAAATATGTATCTTAGCCATCCTTCTTCCTCTGCTTCCTACTCCTGTCTCCCTGTCCCCCCTCACTGTTCTCTCTGCCAGGGTATGAGTCTAGATTATATAGCAGAGGTTGTAATACAATACACTGGCCAGGTCACAGACCCCCTCCTCATATCATATTATCCACATCCCACACACTCATACGTTTATATGAGTGTGTGTGTGCCTGTGTGTGTAGTGATGATGCAATATCACTGACCTACCCCCTCATACTCCTAAACCTTTTACTGCTCTCGTTTACAAGCATAGAGAAACACCTGATATTGTTAACTAGCTCGGTAGCAGGTACTTTTCTGCCCTATTAACATTTTTGGCCTAGTCTGCGTTTGTTGTGATTGCCTGGTCATGAAATCATATAAAACCCAACATATAATCCAGGGGTGTCCTATAAAATGTGATAAGGTGTTTATATTTGCTACCTTGCTACCTCGGCCAAAAATAGCTGAGCTTGGAGAATGATATAATTCGCCAACCAATGAATTTAAACATAAAGGTCACTATGAGACTGAGTAACTATAAGAAGTTCTTAGAGTTCCTTATACTGAACAAAAATATAAACGCAACATGAGCTGAAATAAAAGATCCCAGAAATGTTCCATATGCACAGAAAGCTTATTTCTCTCAAATTGTGAGCAGAAATGTGTTTACATCCCTGTTAGTGAGCGTTTCTCCTTTGCCAAGATAATCCATCCACCTGACAGGTGTGGCATATCAAGAAGTTGATTAAACAGCATGATCATTACACAGGTGCACCTTGTGCTGGGGACAATAAAAGGCCACTCTAAAATGTGCATTTTTGTCACACAACACAATGCCACAGATGTCTCAAGTTTTGAGGGAGCGTGCAATTGGCATGCTGACTGCAGGAATGTCCACCAGAGCTGTTGCCAGAGAATTGAATGTTCATTTGTCTACCATAAGCCACCTCCAACATCATTTTAGAGAATTTGGCAGTACGTCCAACCGGCCTCACAACCGCAGACCACGTGTAGCCGCGCCAGCCCAGGACCTCCATCTGCGGGATCGTCTGAGACCAGCCACACGGACATTTGATGAAACTGAGGAGTATTTCTGTCTGTAATAAAGCCCTTTTGTGGGTGAAAAACATTTTCTCATTGGCTGGGCCTGGCTCCCCAGTGGATGGGCCTATGCCCTCCCAGGCCCACCCATGGCTGCACCACCTGCCCAGTCATGTGAAATCCATAAATTCGGGCCTAATTCATTCATTTCAATTGAACTGTAACTGTAACTCAGTAAAATCGTTGAAATTGTTGCATGTTGCATTTATATTTTTGTTCAGTAGTTTCATAGTGACCTTTAAGTGAACCACATGTATTGTGTATGTGTCTCTATGATAAGACTATGCATACTGTTACAGTATCTGCTTGTACTTACTGTACCTTTAGGCCTTTATCGCCAGTTATTCCCACTGAACCAGAGAGACCCTGCAACACATGAGAAACGAGTGTCAACTCAATACACACCAACAGAGGTCATATTGTATACACAAGCACTAATGTGAAGAAGACACACAGGGCTAACCATTAACAACTACAGTAACTACATAACTACACATATTAAACATGGACAGAAATGCATTCATCTTGTCATATTAACTTTAGAATGTAATGATATGGCCTCCCGAGTGGCACAGCGGTCTAAGGCACTGCATTGCAGTGCTAGAGGTGTAATTACAGACCCGGGTTCATTCCCAGGCTGTGACACAACCGGCTGTGGCCGGGAGTCCCATAGGACGGCGCACAATTGGTCCAGTGTCGTCCGGGTTAGGGGAGGGTTTGGCCTGGGGGGCTTTACTTGGCTCATTGCGCCCTAATGACTCCTTGTGGTGGGCCGGGTGCCTGCAGGCTGTCACCAGTTGAACGGTGTTTCCTCTGACACATTGGTGAGGCTGTTAAGGAATGCGGTGCTACATTTTTTGTAAGGGAAAATCAAGTCTGAAATTTCAAAGTGGAAATTACAAACTTCAGAAGCCTTTTTAAACCTCAAAAACACTACAAGTTTTAAATGTCCTGCATTGCAGGAAAGTTTTCCTGCAACAGGGTGATACAATTAAGATCCTACATATGTATGCAGTGCAGACAGGGAACAAAAACAGAAAATATACTGTTCTTTGGAGATCTATTTTGTGACATTGCTCTGTGTATATACAGTGCCTTGCAAAAGTATTCAGACACTTTGGATTTCTTCACATTTTATTGTGATACGAAGTCGGATAAAAATTGATTTTTCATTTTTTTTTATTAATAAAAATGTGATAACTAAAATATAGGTGTTGCATAAGTATTCAGCCCCTTTGTTCAGGCAAGCCTAAATTAGTTCAGGAGTAAAATTTGGCTTAACAAATCACATAAGTTACATGGACTCACTCTGTGTGAAATAATAGGGGTTGACTTCCTCTGTCCCCCATACATACAACATCTGTAAGGTTCCTCAGTCAAGTATTGAATTTCAAGCACAGATTCAACTACAAAGACCAGGGAGCTTTTTGAAAGCCTCATAAAGAAGGGCAGTGGTTGGTAGACGGTTAACAATAACAAATCAGACATTGAATATCTTTTTAAACATGGTCAAGTTAATAATTATGATGTGGATTATGTATTAAACCACCCAGACACGTCAAAGATACAGTCGTCCTTCTGAACTGAGCCGCAGGACAGGAATGAGTTTTCATTCCTTCTTGTGGGAAGTTGCTATAGACCATCAAGTGCCAAAAGTCAGTATCAGTGAAATGCTTGATAATGTATGTGATATCAACAGAGAGGTATATTTTCTGGGTGACCTAAATATTGACTGGCTTTCATCAAGCTGTCCACTTAAGAAAAAGCTTCAAACTGTAATCAGTGCCTGCAACCTGGTTCAGGTTATCAGTCAACCTACCAGGGTATTTATAAACCGCACAGGAATGAAATCATCCACATGTATTGATCACATCTTTACTAATGCTGCAGAAATCTGCTCTAAAGCAGTATCCACATCCATCGGATGTAGTGATCATAATATAGTAGCCATATCTAGGAAAACCAAAGTTCCAAAGGCTGGGCCTTATATAGTGTATAAGATCTCATACACAAGGTTTTGTAGTGTTTCCTATGTTAAAGAATATTTGTTGGTTTATGGTGTGTAATGAGGAGCAACCAAATGCTGCACTTGACGCATTTATGAAATTGCTTATTCCAGCTACTAATAAGCATGCACCCATTAAGAAAATGACTGTAAAAATGGTTAAATCCCAGTGGATTGATGAGGAATTGAAACATTTTATGGTTGTGAGGGATGATGCAAAAGGATTGGCAAATACTGTAAGTCTGGCTGCACAGCCAATTGGCAAACGTAATGTAAATTGAGAAATCTTGTGACTAAACTAAACAAAAATAAGAAAAAACTGTTAAGGTAAATGATATAAAGGATCATAGTAAAAAGATTTGGAGCACCTTAAATGAAATGTTGGGGAAAAAGGCGAACTCAGCTCCATCGTTCATTGAATTCAAATCAAATCAAATCATATGTTATTTGTCACATGCGTCGAATACAACAGGTGTAGACCTTACAGTGAAATGCTTACTTACAAGCCCTTGACCAACAATACAGTTTTAAGAAAAATAAGTGTTTCGTCAAATGTTTTAATAAAAAACAAATAATTAAAGAGCAGCAGTAAAATAACAGTAGCGAGGCTATATACAGGGGGTACCGGTACAGAGTCAATGTGCGGGGGCACAGGCTAGTCGATGTAATTGAGGTAATATGTAAATGTAGGTAGAGTTAAAGTGACTATGCATAGATAATAAACAGAGAGTAGCAGCAGCGTAAAAGAGGGGATGGGAGGGGTGGTACAATGCAAATATTCCGGGTAGCCATTTGATTAGCTGTTCAGGAGTATTATGGCTTTGGTGTAGAAGCTGTTAAGAAGCCTTTTGGACCTACACTTGGCGCTCCGGTACCGCTTGCCGTGCGGTAGCAGAGAGAAAAGTATATGACTAGGGTGGCTGGAGTCTTTGACAATTTTTAGGGCCTTCCTCTGAAACACCTGGTATAGAGGTCCTGGATGGCAGAAAGCTTGGCCCCAGTGATGTACTGGGCCGTACGCACTACCCTCTGTAGTGCCATGCGGTCGGAGGCCGAGCAGTTGCCATACCAGGCAGTGATGCAACCAGTCAGGATGCTCTCGATGGTGAAGCTGTAGAACTTTGAGTGCTACGGGTCTGTAGTCATTTAGGCCGGTTACCTTAGTGTTCTTGGGCACAGGGACTATGGTGGCCTGCTTGAAACATGTTGGTATTACAGACTCAGTCAGGGACAGGTTGAAAATGTCAGTGAAGACACTTGCCAGTTAGTCAGCGCATGCTCGGAGTACACGTCCTGGTAATCCGTCTGGCCCT